ACTTGTTGTCCCTAAAAATTATGTTGTGTTATGTTAAGTTATGAAGTGTGATGAACAAATTTTATTTAACAACAAAAAAGTAAATATAATTGATAATATACATATATAAAAAATAATAAGGCACTAATAGTTGCTCTAAAAAGATTTCTGGTGGGCATTCATTAATTAAGATCACTTTTGACCTTTATAAATATTTCTAAGAAGTATACTCCATTAGGTTTTGTTCCATTGCCATTTGCCCCCCAGTGGCTCAGTGGTAAGCCAGTGGTCTGATAACGCTTAAAATCAAGTTCTGATATCCATGGGGATCAGAGCACTGTGTGGCTTTGTGCTTTCAAACAAACAATCTTTGCCATTTTATGTTATGATAACTAGCCTGTAATTTTTTTTACAATATTTCTAAAACTGTAAACAAGCAATGAGGATAGTATGTTCAACAGATATAAAAGATTAGATCAAGCAATTTACAAATCAGTATATTATGATGTGTAAAATAATTAAGTTTTAGTATTAGTTGAACAGTGTTATGTACAAGTTTTCATTTCATGTAAGCTGATTATTGCCTTTTCAATTCTGTTATTTTTAAGTAATTGTCTATTTATTTAATAATCTTTCTTAAGTTTAACAATTTCTTTTGAACTTTTATGTTTTATCGTGATCTTCACTGGATCATTGCATTTTGTTAATAACTGGAGTTTAATATTTTTTATTTTATGATTTATTTTTCTGGAGTTATTTTAATGAATTTAAACGATATATCCTTGGTAACATATGACAGGTGCACTCATGAATATCAGATCATAATTAAACCTTTTGTATATAACAATTCAGATATTAAAAATAAAATTTTAGCTTCAAGAACATTAACTTTATTGGACTTGCAAGTGCAATATCATTTAACTCTTATAAACCCATCTTTCATCATATACAAACTTTCTATGAACATACATATTTTAAAAGTGAATGAATGTTATTTTCAGTTACACGGTTTAGCCAAATATGCAGTGTGAAAGATGCAGCTTTATTTCTCTAAACTTCCTTTATTAAACTATAAAATAAGGTATGTTATCATTCATCACCATTGAATTGTAATAACTAAGTAACATGAAGGGAAAATGTTGTTACTTTGTTCTGTTGCTGGTCTGAAATGTCACCTTGTATTATCATTGCTTTCTTCTCTACAATGTCTGAACTTTCTAGATTTATCTAGCATTAATTTCATAATGTATGTGTAATAAAACAGTGTGCATTCTTCCCCTGCCTTTCCCCTTAGACCTGGAAAGAGATTTTGTCAACCAACTTCAGCAAACTTTGGAAGGTCACAAGAAAGTTCAGGCCTCGTTAAAACAGCAATTGAAAGAGCTGAGTAAACAGTGTAAGGATCTCCAACAGGAGAAAAAACAGATGGAAGGAACACTACAGCAAGACACTAGCACTAAGTTACAAGTAAGTTCACTGTCTAATATAATCGCTCATTAAAAAAAGTTAAATGCTCATAAATCAGAACATCTTTGAAATATGAGTAGGATAGATTACAAGTTTTACAACACAATAGACATCATTATTACAGTATTGACATTTCGCTACTTATTGACATGTGACTCTAGTGGTAGGTTAATGAGAACACTTAAAACTGATCACAACACACTGTGCATGATATTTTACTGTATGAAGTCTGATATCATATGTAGGATTGAAATCAATATTTACAGCAGAAAATCACAGGATTTTACTCTTTAAAATCTAAGACAAAGGTTAATTATGCTCATTATGAATTCTTACTGTGAACATTAACATTATTTTCCATGTACTCTTAAATGTTGAAGTATAAGATTAATGACAACTTTTACAGTTGAACATAATATAAAGATATACGAACTGATCACGTGATTGTACCTGCCGTTCGGGACATGATCTTATGATAGAGTAAGCCAAGTTATTTGTGTATATTATGAATGGGTACTTTTCAGGTACCAGAATCAACAGACTACATGTGTTAATGTACATCCACTACCTGAAACTTATGATGATTAATGTTAGTACAGATAATTGGTTTGTTCTTAGAATAAAATACATACATGAAACTAGAAGTATCTTAATTGTGTGGCTCTAAACATAAAAAATTCTGACATTTAGTTTTATGGTGAAGCATGAACAATAGGTATATGTGTATCTTTTATAAACTTGCTGTAAGATCACCATACTGCGTTTGAAAGACATAGGTAACAGGTTGCTAACTTTTCCATAACAACTGGTACTAAAATATCTATACATGTTGTTAATGTCCTACTCTACTAAGTACATATCATTGTAACTTTCCATATCCCACTCTTAACAATTAATAAGTCCCCCCCTAGTGGCACAGTGATATGTCTGCGGACTTATACTGTTAGAAACCGGATTTCGATACCCATAGTGGGCAGAGCACAGGTAACCCTTTGTGTAGTTTTGTGCTTAAAAACAAACAACAACAATTAGTATTAAACTCTCTCTCTAGGAAACTTGTTAGTTTCCTTTACTTCATCCAGTTTTGCCCCCCAGTGGCACAGTGGTATGTCTGCGGACTTACAACGCTAGAATCTGGGTTTCGATATCCGTGGTGAGCAGAGCACAGATAGCCCCATTGTGTAGCTTTGTGCTTAATTACAAACAAATCATCCAGTTTTGGTGTTGTACCATCACATTTACAAGTGGTTGTTGAAATGGGCAACCTGCCTTGTGTACTGGTGATTAAATAACATTTCCATCAACTTCTGTGAAGCAAGAAATGCATCAGAACATCGTCTAATTCCCAGTCCATTAGGCAACATGTTATTTCAACAACAACATCGAACCCATAAAGCAGACTGTCTTCAACTTTCTCTGTAACATTAGATGTATTATAAATAAACTAATGTAACATGACTAATGTATCTTTCAGAAAAGCATCACTACCTAATTATTACTGTGAAGTGACACATGGCATTCTACAGTTAAGCAAGAAGAGTTACTAGCTGTTTTCACAGTACACTGAACATCTAACTAAACACACGTCTGAATCTAATAACAAGCTTTTTGGCTGTTTATATTGCTTAAATTCTAACACTGTACTTTGTGATATCTCATGTCACGTGTGAGGTATTGAAACTAAAGTATGTACTTGGTAGGAGGATATCAACAATAATCCACAGATAGTTTCTTACTACTTCATAAGGGTGAGGTACGAAAGGCGAGATGGTTTGAACTTAGTACAAAAAGACATCAACAA